TGTTTAATCAACTTCAAAATCCTCAAGAAAATCGCATTCTCTACTCCAAAAGTCGACCCCCCTCTTAAAAAATTGGTTTTTTCCCTTTAAGAATGGTGAAAAACTGCTTTAAAACCCGCATTTACGTTTACACGGCCCGCGTAAATTAACACTGTCGTTTACGCGCCCGCGTAAACGCAAAATAACAACTGTGCAGAAATCTACGTTTACACGGCCGTGTAAACGCAAGGCTTCTATTTACACGGCCGTGTAAACGTCTGTAAAGCCAAAATCTTCATTTCTTTGATATCTTGCTCCTCGGTGCTCCGCAAGTCCTGAAATTTTGTCCGCAACTTTTATTTACCTCCTCCAACAAATATCCTACCTCCAAAATCCCTGAAATATCACAAAAGTATTTGAATGAATTGCCTCATGAAAAATCCCGAAAAACATGCAAAATGCATGACTTTAACCTTAAGCCTATATGCAATGTAACTTTTATGAAATGAAATAAAGCTACAAAATGGGTACCTGAAATGCACCCTAACAATCTCCCCAAGCTTAAACCTTCTTGTCCTCAAGAAAAAACAAGAAGATTTAAACTAGAGAAAATAAATAGAATAGAAGAAAAGAAAATTAAAGTTAAAACTATTTGAAACTTAATGCATGAAATCAAAACAAACATGAAGATCCACCCAATTAACCCTGTTTTGTACCATAGTTGAGAATGTACTGTCATGCCTTGAGTCAACTTGGCTTTAGTCTCAAAATATTATATGATATAGAAATAAGACTTTGGCCACTCCCTAATACAACTCAACAGAATCAAAGATCACAACACTAATTCCCTTTCAATATCATCAGTGAATTCTTGGAACAAATTATGGTCTTACTCTCGTGAAATTATATGTGACAAAACATGCTCAACCATATTTGTTTCATAAATATAACAATGCCCGATTCCAGCTATTTGTTGATCAACAACAAAATCTTTTTCTGAAAAATCTTTTCTAAAAATTCCCTAATATTTATCCAGATTGGTTTACAAACTTCAAACACTTGCACCAGTCAAGTAATTAACATTCAGTCCAATGTCATAAGTTCAAATCCAAGTCCAAGGGAATCTTTTGACAGCCAAGTATTTTTCCTAAACACAATATTCAATTAAACTATAAACACAATTATATACAAACTTCTTATTATATTTTTTACAAATAAAGCTCATGGCTTTCTTGAAATCCGTGTAACGGGCTTCCACCAACACATCCAAATCAAATGACCTTAGTGTGCTAGATTTAAAGAGATCCCTCGGGTTTACTTGCCCGAACCTCAAGGCCACAGATTAGCTTTATTTGCTATTATTAAGTTCATGACTTTCTATGGAACCATGTAACGAATTTTCAACTCAATCAGTCCCAAAAATTTAGCTTTAGACGATTAGATGTAAAACACCCCTCAGAGTTTACTTGTTCGAATCCCAAAGGTCACAGATAACTTAATAATAGTTTTTTTTTTTTTTTTTTTTTTTTTTTCAAGTAAACACAAATACAAATAACTAATTTAACACATAACACTCTTATTATTTATTTATTTATTTGGCCAATTTCTTTATATTTTCGTCCTTGACTTTTCTATTGTGGGACATTCTCACGGTCTATTACCGTGAGGACTTCTAAGACATTTTTCAGGGGACTAAAGGTTAACATGCAAAGACCCGTAAGTATAGTTGAAAGTTATGTCCCCAAGCAGGGTATATAAAAGGGAATGAGTAGAAAGGACTTTTTAGAGCGCTGGAAGGCTCGGGACATTGAAATTTTGCATTCTTTTTTTATTTTTTTTATTTGACATTTTAAGTTTAATTGAGCACTTACTACTCATAAGACCAGTCATATGTCCCAAAGAATTAACTCATACCTGCTGTTATGCTCCAATGTTGACAATCTTCTCACTTTCTGTTTTGCACAAGTAGCTTCGGGAGGTGTGTTCGTGTGTGGATTAACTTGCTTTAGATTTTTCAATAAAAAGAGCAAGTCAATTTCAAGGCACATGACTCATTTACCAGCTCAACTATTTTGAAAAGATTCGGTTGCTTGGGATTGGATCAATTGTTTTTTTCTTCAAAGAATGCAATGCAAAAAATTTGGATGCAAACAAAATGCAAAGAAAATAATAAAAATTAGAATAGAAAGAAAATCTTTTTGGTTTTTGAAAAATTTTCTATGCAGAAAATGAACAAGAAAATAAAAAATTAATGCAATATGTACAAAATTAATGCAACCTACATGCAACGGAATTTATGCATGGATGGATTCCCCTCCCCAAGCTTAAAATAAACATTGTCCTCGATGCTTGGAGAGAGCTAAACCATCTAATTATCAGGGGTGGTGGAGGATGGTAGATGGGTTGGGAATGGGTCCAAAACAGTCACAAATGCACACCAATTGGATTTTAAGTAAAATATGAACGATTAAAGATATGGAAAGAATTTACTGAATCGTTCTTGGAGCTCGCAATTGTTGTGTGAACCTCCTCTTCATCCTCCCCAAGCTATTCGTGGAAGTATTTTTGGAGCCGGAGATTCAATATCTAGGCATAAAAAATAAGTTTAAAACCATTTGGGACATTAAAAAATTGAAATTTACCAAAGACTAAAAAGTTTTAAAAAAGAAAGAAAAAAAAAAAAAAAAAAAAAAAAACTCCGGGTTGCCTCCCGGTTACTCTGCAGCTGCCTTGTTTTAAGGTCGTTGGCTCGACCTGGCCCCTGAATGTGCTTTGTTCTAAGTAGGTGGGCCTTTACAACACATTAACCTTCTCGCCACTTCCTTCATTGAAAACTTATCTTCTACCTGATTTTTTTTGTTTTTTTTTTCTTTTTTTTAAAACACCTGCTCACAAAATGCTTGGCATAAACATTAGTAACACCGTGTCCCCGGCAACGGCGCCAATTTGTTAGGCGTGTCAAACCCAACAAATAAAGGGTACAAATGACTCCTTAAACACTACTACTATGCACTAAAAACGTAGTACAGTAGTAGGGTCGATCCATCCACAGCGAACACGGGACAGTGTTTATACCTTTTGCGTAAGGTACAAAAATGGTCACAGGATGGGGGAATTTATAAGCAATGATTTAAACTATAGAATAAAGCAATAAGTAAATGATTGATTAAGTGAAATAAGTTCAAGATTTGTAAGTACTCTTCTATAAGACGATCGTGTTCGGCTTCGTGATTTTTACGCAACTGCGACTTTCTTGGTTTAGATCGTGCACGTGATGTTTCGCCTACTCGGTTTTGAAAGTATGCAACCGTTTTCGCCATGACGGAACCGATAAACTTAGCCTCCTCTAGAGCCGTCGAATCGGATGATTAGATGATGACATTTTGATTAATCTTTTTTGGAGAGAATTATAAGGTATAGGTTAAAAAAATGGTTGGATGTTGTGGTATTTATAGTTTAATAAAGGAATATATATAATATATATATATATAATATATAGATATATATATATCTAAATATATATATATATTATATATATATATAATATATATCTATATGTTTGGGAAAAAGTGAATATATCCTTAATGGTATATAAGTTTAGGTACCCAAATCCACTATAATATGTCATTTTGTTTGATATATCTATTATAATGTTCTTAAAATCCAACCCCTAATTTGATTAATTTCAAGATTTCCAAAATTTCACTATTATTTTCCTCTTACATCACATCTTTTTGTCGAACACTACTAAACTATATATATTATAGTTTAAAATGAAAATTATATAAAATGACAATAAATGTGAAATTTATAAAAATCTTTGAAGTAAATCAACTTAGAAGTTGAATTATAAAAACATTGGACAATTATAATGTATATATATGACACAAAACGATGTAGTATAGTGAGTTTAGGTACCTAAGCTTATGTACCCTTAAGGGTATATTCACTTTCCATATATATATTATATATATATATATATATATATATATATATATATAGATATATATATATATATATATATATATATATATTAACGGCTATATAGCCGTTTGAATAAAAAAAAATAACGGACGAATCAAATGAGGAGTGAAAAAGCGGCATCCCCACCCCCCACCCTCCTTCCCGCGCTTCGTTTCCCGCACCGACGGTGCGGTGTTCCCGCACCCCTCCCCGCACACCATACCGTCCGGGCTAAGAAAGAGTGATTTTTAATTATCAAGTGCATGATTCCTTGGGTTTAATATTTAGTATTCATATTTTAATCGTCAATCTCCTGGACAACTATCAATTCAGTCATGTTTAACTTCCGTTGCTATAATCATAAAATTTTATAATTGTAACAAAACCGTGTAGTGGTATTTAAAGTCTTCCATTGACACCAAATTAGCATATTTCAAGATGTGACTTTCATTATAAGGGAGGTGAGTATCATGTGTTTTTGAGGGGAGGTATCACCGGTACCTCCAAAATAGGACCCTTCAAGCTTTGGGTCCAAGATAGGACCCTTCAAGCTTTGGGTTGGAGTGGTTTGAAGAATTAGTACTCTTCAGCCATTTGAGGAAGCCGTTTCCTTTTTTCTCTGTACTCTATTTTTTTCTCTTTTTTTTTCTTGTACTATGTGTTTTAAGACTTGTACATTAATTTTTTTTGTATGTTTTTAATTGAGTGGCTTGAGTGAATTAAAAAAGATAGGGTTTCCATATGTTGTAGGTTGGAAAAGATAAAAGAGAAAAGAGAATAAAAATTTGATGTGGCGGTGGATTGAGTGGGTTCGGAGGGAAGGACTCCCTCCTCCCTAAGATCTAAAGTGACATGAACATGCTAATGCTTAAGATTGGTTGGTCGTGTAAAGAGATGTGTGAATCTACTATAATCAATTGTTAAAAATATGGAAAGCCACAACAATATGAAATGAGAGATTGAACTATATAGATTTCACATTGAATTATTTTCTATACCTTGTGTGTATGATATAGACTTGTACACTTATGGATTGTTTGATATGCCTCTTACTAGGTTCTAATTAGATTGGTAATAGACTAGATTGGCTCTTACTAGGTTCTTATCAATCAAGATTGGTAACAGACTAGGTCTGACTCTGTCATATTCAAAATGTTTGATACTACAATTAGCTAGGTCTGACTTAGTCTCATAACCTCTGATATGTCTCTTATTAAGTCTGGTAAAAAATTGTATCTAATTCAATCAGCTCAAACAGCCTTTGATTTAATCACATCCAACTTAATAGGCAACTATCAAATGGCCCCTTAGCTATAAGAGTGTTACGTTATTAAAGGTCACACTCAAATGCAATTGATATAATCAATGGTGATGAATTAGTTTCTAGTTAAGCTTCAATAACACAAATCAGATCAATGGTCATGTTTTTCTTTCCCTGTTACACAAAACAGAAAATATGTTACTTGAAATGATTATAAAATTGATGTATATGGTGGAGACACATCTAGGACTATACATATGCAACAAATGAAAGAATAATTTTACCTATGGGATTATTAATTACTCGTTTTGATAGGGTAAGATGCCAAAATTGTTATTCCACATTTACCAGTTTCCCGTTTTATATTGCGTTCCAGTCTTATATAACCTTCTTCACCCCATTCTGCACCCCATGAGCTCCTCACCACCCAGTAGTCCTTCCCAATTTCAGTTCCATATCCAACTACAACTACACCATGGTTTACTAACTCTCCACATACACCACTAAAGATACCCTGACAAAACAAAAATAACAGATTATGGATCACATCTTTCTTTTTTTTTAACTTGTTTCACTAAATTCAAAGAGGGATTACTTACTGAACTGTATAACATGAAATCCCTGCTACTGATATCAATACCAGTAGATATAGGCTGGTTTGCAACAGCCTTCTGTAATGCTAACTCGCTTTCCTCCAGAAGATATTCATAACTATCAATGGAAACAAGTGTGGTATTTTTCTGAACAAATTGGAAACAGAATATAATAGTCAAGACTCAAGAACTTGAAGCATATATATGGAGAAGATAATATAAGTAGAAGGAAATATGATAGGTACCTTGGAAGTGTGGCATTTTCCATCTTTGGCAGTGTAGGGATAGTCTTTGTCACTGTGTATTCCGCCATTCTTGATGATGAAATCAAAGGCATCGGTAATAAAACCACCATCACATCCATAGTTAGATGTATCACAATCAATGAGTTGTTGTTCTGATAGTGTGATCAGATCACCTGTCACGATCTGGTTTATCCCTTCCACTGCTCCGATTGCTGAGAATGCCCACGAAGCCCCTTTCATTCAACAAACATGAATCCAAATCCACCATATTAATCAACTTTTCCCCAAATGTCCGCCTAAAAATCTTCCATCATGTTCTTATAATTTTTAGTTTACTTTTCTTATCAGGTATCGATTAATTTTATAAAATAACGCACCACATTGTCCTTGTGTTTTGACGGCAGCGACGGCGCCTTTGCACCTCCAGTCAACGAAATCAGGCAGGACATCGCCATCGCCGGAAAGAGGAGAGTAACGATCACTCTTCAGCTTGTTCGACTTCCGCTTAGGAATGGCGCCGGTGTACCCTAACCGGTACTCTTCAATGCTCAGATCTGAGAACTTGTTGAGTCCAAGCTTGTAAGAATGATGACCGGAGTTGTGCTCTTCTATGTACTTGAGGTTGTCTTTAAAGATCTGAAATCTCTTATCCTTCTCTCCCAGGGCGTTGTAAAATTTACCATGTTTGACGATCCAGGACTCGTACATAGCGTTGACTTCTTCGTCGGTGCGCCAGTTCGACGCGGAGGTATCGGCGGTGGTCGTTTGGGTGATGTCGTAGCCTATGATCGACATGTCCATGGCAGACGAGACCAAAAAGAGAGCAAAAATCAAGAAAATGGGCATTGAAAGGAGCTTCATTGTTGGAGCTTCTTGTACTGAAAATTGGAAAGAGGGAGGAGAACGATGGAGTGGAAATAGGCGAGGGGAGGGATAACCGTAACTAATAAGAGGGTCGGACCTTTGTTCAAAAGGGGCAAATAGCACTGGCAGTTATGGTATTACTAGTAAAACTGTAAAAGTATCTTGTCTAATCATGAGTTTTTTACCAAGGCATAGCAGGTGGAAAAAGTATTTACCAATTTATAATGGATTGAAAAGTATTTACCCAAAAATAGTTAAATAATTAGAGATTAACTTTTTTTAAGTAAGTCAGTAGGAGAACAAGTCTCGTACACAGCGGTGAGATGACATGTCCAGTGGTACGGTGAACAACATATTGTTTGGTGTGCAGTGGTGTAGTGAAGTCCCTGCAGAAAAAGAAAGTAAAGCGCCTCTTTTTTTTCATGCTTCATATTTTTGTAGAGTACAATATCTTATTTCTTGCATATTTTGAGGGTAGTGAAAGGTGAGTGTTGTTTGGTAAGGTTGCCTAACAATTGAATAAAAATATCATTATAACCAGTGGCGGAGCTACCTAGTAGCCAGGGGTAGCACGGGCTACCCCTCAAAATCATCCGAGAAATATAAAAAAAATATTACAGAGGCGCTACTACTAGTGCTACTCCTAAGATTTTGACGAGGAAGATGAGGAATCAAACAGGCCATTGCCAGCACCGAATCCCTCCTCCATATCTAAATGGTAAGAACCTTTTCCTTTTGTCCTTATGCTTCTGAATCTTTGTGTGCTCCTGAATGTTTTTGGACGACAAGTATCTTAAATTAGGGTTTATGGTCTGAAAGTTCCAGTTCCTTGAAGATGAGAATTGTTTGAAGTTTACAAATCAAGTCACTTTCTAGTAACAAATTTGATCAGGCATTGAGATTTGAGACAAAGATTCAAAAACAATTCTTCAACAGATCATATGTCTGGTAACAATAAAACATCGATTCTAGGTGTTTCTTTTTTGTACTTTGTTGAAAATTTATCCTTTAAACGGTTACACTTCTTCAAGAGTGTTTACTACTTACAAGTTGATCATAAAAATCTTGTATGTCTCTTTCTAATGTAATGGGTCTAGCTTCAAATGAAGTTATGAAGTCTTTGAATTTTGCATTCCAAGTGTTTGTGAAAAGTCTTGCTTTGGAATTCAGAAGAATCTCACAAATTATAAGTATATTCTTGATTGTTGTCAATTCTGCATGACTAAATTAGAATTTTGACACAAAATTGATTGTATTTTTTTATTTAACTTTAAATCAAAACTGAATTGTGTATCTATACAGGTGATTCATTGAGTGTATGTTATGGTCTAAAGGTACAAATGCACTCTTAGTAAGTACTACTGATCTAACCCCATCTTATAAGCTTTTTCCCTATTAAATTTTATATCGTCTATTTGATCTTTTTGGGTTCCATTATGTTGTTAGATTAATTGTTTGATGCTCAAGTGGAACTGTTCATGTTTAACAGACCTGGCCCTATAATTTGTCATTAAGATCATATGGGAAAACCACATCAGAAATGTTTAGTGTGTTAGGAAGCTAGCTATAATGTCCTAGTATGCTAATTTGTTTGAAAAATATAGGATATGGGAGGTGTTATTTTTCGCCATTATGATCTTTTGAAGATGTAGGTTGTGTAGGATCCCATAAAATGTGTAATTTTTGTGGTTAATTACTTAATTTTGTATTACTTTTTAAATTTTATCGGGAAAAAATATGTGCTACCCCTAACGGAAATTTCTGGCTCCGCCCTTGATTATAACCTTCTAATAATAACAAGTTCAAATAACATAAAAAAACATGTTACCAATCTTTAAAATCCAAAATTCAAAACATACTATCAATCTTCAAAATCCATTTTTTTCTCTTAGAATCATGATATTGATTCATCTGAACAAAAAATGAGAAAACTCATATGGACAATGCTCTTTGATCGTCTTCTCTAGTGATTCGTGTTTCTTAATCGTCATACGAACCTCAATGAATTAAAATAAACGCCATTCGTGTTAATATTGATTGTCATAAAAGAGCAACATTCCATTTGCCATAAACCAAGAAATCGGAATTTAGAGCCACATTTCATGAGAAAACAAATAAAAATGAAAAGATCAACAAAAAAATACTTTATGTTGCTCTTGTTTGACAATGACGGTGGGGGAGGAAGAAGGTGGCAACAGTTAAGTCAACAAGGACGACGATGGGAAAGAAGCAAGGGGCGGTCGGTAACCTTATGGGTTCAAGATAGACATATGTTGCTCTTGTTTGCCAGCGGCAACGAGGAAGAACGAACGTTGCGATTGGGAGACTGATTAAGATTGGGAAAGAATCAAGTGGCAGTCACAATGATATACTCTCACAAAAGAATGGTCTAGACCTATTGTTTAGTTGAAAGGTTATGCCTCTAACCGAATGAAAGATTCAAATTAGACGAATCTAACGCTCTTAATGGTTAAACCATTCAGAGGTTGTTTTATATTAAACCATTAAGAAGCTATCAAAGAGGTTGTTTTATATGAAACCATTAAGAAGCTATCAAAGAGGTTGTTTTATATTAAACCATTAAGAAGCTATCAAACAAGGCGATAATTATAGATATATTTGAAAATGGTGAGGGCAATGACAAAAATGGAATGAAAAGGCACTCGGAGGCTGGAGCACAGATGAAGATAATAAGTTGTGATATTACATTGAACGATATGGGCACTACAATTGACATTGAACTTCACATGTACTCGGTAGGATTGATCTTCATCCCCTTTGTTTGCATATAAGAAGTTCCAATACAATTTTTTCTATGCATCTCTCCGTAGAATTGGTTGTTTATTTATAAAAAGTGTATGACAGCATAACGGATCTATGGCATATTTCCATAAATGAAAAAAAGTAGAATAAGGACAAATCTATTAAATTATTCTTTCTACTTTGAGTTAAAATGAAACATCAATATATAAAATGAATTCATGTGCCAATTAAGAATTGAGACATTAAATATCTTTCTACCAATAATACCTATTTTTCTATTCATATAAAATAATTACATGTAGAATCCGATAATTCTTTCTTTAAATCTATTATCTTGATTTTGACATTTGTTTTGATCTAGTGAATATGAAGATGGGTAGGGACAAAAGGCAAGAGGATATTTGATTTCTGGAATTGATTTATATCCATTAAGTGAAAAAATAAAGCGCCTAAAATGGATTAACAAGAAAAGTAATGGTGTGATACATATTCTTTTTGACTTCTTTGGCTTGTAGGTTCAACTTATTGGTTTTTGGATTTATTGTTTGTCTCTTGATAAAGCAACAAAAATAAATAGCAATCGAGTACATTGATCTGTTAGAAACAAAAAAATCCCCTAAAATCATTATGAAAATATATAATAAAAGAGTATTTTTTTTATTTACACACCATCCTATTAATCAATAACACACAACTAGACAAAAAGTTATTTAGTTTTTTAGTCAAAATGCCAGTTTGATAGTGAGATTTAAGATGACGTGAACATGGTAGAACATGGGTAGAGATATGTGAATCTAGTTTGATCAGATTAGAGAATATGGAAAACAAACAAGTAGACGAAATTTTATCATGGAAACCCATACCTCACAGCAAATTATTTCCGAGACTTTGTAAATGGAAATTAGAGACTTGTACATTTAGCTATAACAGTAGTACATTATCAAAGGTAACTTCCGTCGTTGCGTGATGGTGGAAGGTTTATCAACTTGAAAGCAATATAAAAATATAGATAACAATCTTCCATATCATTTACTGTTTTCTTTAGTTTTCGATTCAGAGTTTCAAATTTTCAAGTTTTGATCCTTTTCATCTACTTTTACTTCAAATTTGGTCCTTGCACGAAGGCCAAAAAGAGAAAAGAGAAACCACATGAACCATTTTTGCAATTTTCTCTATCATGTAATAAAAGTACATCGCTATTTGGTATAATTTATGAAATGTTTAGTAAGACGAAAGCAATATAAAAGGGAAAAGCATGAACTTGTCTCTGGATCAAATTCAGTACAGAAATCAATAAAGTATTTACAAATAAGCATCAGATTATATATAATATATAATCAGATGGTAATCAAATAGTTTAAAGTTAAATAAATACTTCAATAACACAAATCATGTCAACATCTCAATTGCTTCTCAAGCATTGTTCCTCTTCAAATTAGTCGGTGTAGCAAGAATACGCTTCAACGCCTGGATTTCCAATGGGCTATTCTTCTTCTGTAAAACACAAAATTCAAAAAATTAGTCACACACATCGGTCAGACACAGTCTCATATGCCTAGGCATATGTAGACAAAAATCAAGGACTCCGCATATCTATATTTACCTTTGAGCAAGTACCACGACGCACATTACAGATGGGATAATCATGAGGGCAGCAACTGTAATTATCATCACAACAAGAAGCACCTTCCAAGGGGCAACATCCCCACGCGAAGCACGCACCATGGTAGTTATAGACACAGCAACAAGTGGTGCTTTGAGGGCAAGTGGCGTATTGATCGCAGACGATTTCAGGTTTGACCGGTGAAGGTGGTGATGGACCAGGGTTAGGTGGGTTTTGACCGTTTTTAATCGGGTAAGATGCTTCCATTGCTATTCCACATTTACCAACTTTTTCTTTTATATTTCTTTCCATTCTTATGTAACCTTCTTCACCCCAATCTGCAGCCCATGAGTTTCTCACTAGCCAGTAGTCCTTCCCATCTTCAGTCCCGTATCCTACCACAACCACACCATGGTCCAAATCGGTCCCACATTTACCGGTAAAGATGCCCTGACAAAATTCAAGTTTGTCAGGTTTAATAAAGAAAAAGTGACTTAAAAAAACAGCATTTCAACTTCTAAACAATAACAAGACAAAAGGGGTACCATATCTTTAAATGTAATAATTTAATATGATAATAATTTAAACCCACCCACCCCACAACCCTTGGGCCTCGACCAACAAGATTCCATGGAGACACAAAAAGATTTACAATTAAAAGATTCAAATTTGTGCATTCTATAATCATTGGCCTGGCCAGAA